AAATGATCCTGGCAAGTGATTTGTGTGTGTGTGTGTGTGTGTGTGTGAGAGAGAGAAAGAGAGAAAGAGAGAAAGAGAGAGAGAGAGACTACCGTATGGAGAGTGTGCGTGTCTGTGGTTGATGCTCCTTTTGCCCCAAAAACTCCCATGACTCATCCATTTGGCTCGTTGCTGCAATGCCCCCCACCCCCCGGTATGACATCATCACAACCCCCTGACCCAAAGCCTGACCTGATCCCAGCATCTCGGGGAGGGAGAGGGAGGAGGGAGGTGGGGTACAGCGCAGAGAGAAGCGACAGCGGGAGGAAAGGTTCTGCACAATATTCAGGTTGTACAGCAACATCTGGAGCAGATTAGTGCTGAGAGCTTGTAAGGAGAAGGCCCAAACAGCACAGCTGAGCTCCCTCCCTGCCCTGCCATCGCTCATAGCTTCCTCATAGTTATTCATATAATAACAGAATATATAAAACAATCACAGGACTGTCAGGACCAGGACGCAGATTTATCTCTAAATACATGACCCTGGCCCAAAACTGCTCTTGTAGATCGGGCTTGGGTGAGGCTGAGTTAGATTTAAAAACTATATATATTTTTAATATTTTATCAATAATACATCCAACTGTTATTAATGAGTGAATCTGTTTATTTATAAGTCTTGATAATAATTTGAAGTATTATATGCATAATGTAGTTTACTTTAGCTTGTGATAAACAATTAAAGCAGATATTTGGGTTTGGGTCGGGCTCCGGCCCAAAACTGCTTTTGTGGTTCAGGCTATGTTCGGGGCTCGCACAGAATTTTTTGGGGTTCAGGTCAGACCTGATTTTTATAACTCTAATCTATTATGACTATTATGACGTATATACTGAACAAATTTACTTTTGTCAGACATTAAGATAGTGAAAGTGTAATGGGGGCTAGCAGAACAATGGTGCCCACACACAAAAACAAGTCATGCTTGGAAGAGGGGGAGTGGTTGGAGTGACCAAAACCCAGTCAGACAGAACACTCCGAGGAAATGTCACACATTCCACACTGCTCTTATCTCACACACACACACACACACACACACACACACACACACACACACCTCATGTATTCATGAAGATGAACTATAGGACATGAAATATAAACACATTTGCTTATTGCTTTACAACTTTGACGTGAATTCAGCTTGTAGCCTCAAACATCCCAAAGCTGAAAATCTATGACCTGGAGCCCTCTGTTCTTTCCCTCCCTCCCCCTTCTAACTCCATGCAACAAGCTACTACACTTCCTCCTCTTCCTTTCTACTCCTTCCAGTCATCCTCGCTCCCTCCCTCCGCTCTCCTTCTCTTCACTCCCTCCACTGGAAAAAGTTCCTCCTGGTTTTTTAGCCTTAAAAGGGCAGAAGCAAACTGGATCTTGGCAGCCCTCCAATTCCCTGGGCTCTGGTTACAGGCGGAGGGAGGAGGGAGGAGGGAGGGCAGGACAGGGGAAGGGAGGCAGGAAAGAAAGTGGAGGGCCAAGAAAGAAAAGAGAGAAAAAAAGCCAGGGAAAAGTGCTGTGTGGGACATTTTTAAAGCCCGCACTGACAACAGAGGATGGGCTGAGATATGTTCATTTGAGCAAAAAGACCTGATAGGCAAAAAAAAAAAACATCAGGTTTGAAGGGATAGGCAAAGAAAGAAGAATGAAAAACATGGGGAGAACAGGGAGCGGCAAGCAGGGATAGACCAAGACAGAGGAAGAAGAGGCAAGAGGAGGACATGGGGCACCACGTAAAAAGATGAATGA